TCCTGGCCGGCAGTGACAAAATTCACTTGCTTCCGAACACACATACACACAGGCGACCCGCGGATACGGGAAGGCTGAATTTAAATTTGCGATAACAGTCAACAAATTACCAAGGACATCTCAAAAAGACTATGGCTTTGCTGGTGCTTTTTAGAAACGTTGTAATTCCTTCAGGAGATGAGACACATATGAAGATCATTTCAGCAGAATGACTATCACACAGTCCGCCTTTCATCAAAGCAAAGTTGGGCAGCCGAGGAAGAGGGAGAGGGGAGGGAAGGAGTGCGAGGGTATACTGCAAAATATAGCTAAAAATCAGTTCACTGGAAAAGAAATGCATGATTTTTGAACTGAGCAGAAAGAGCGAAGCGTTGTTCGCAAAGTTAGAGGAAACTTACTTTCTTCTTGGGGATTGGGATTTTGGAGTCTGTTTGGATTTGTCTGAGCGTTTTCCTGTTTCTGCGTTGTACTGCCTTGGGCTCTTTGATTTAGTGACGTTGCTGCCGCTGCTGCTTGCTTTTCTCGGGCATTTTTTGAGCTAAAAGTGAAAAATAATGAGCTTCTAAGCACCAATACGACAAGTAATAACAAGCGAGAAAAATCGCATGAATTTAAAATTTCCTACAATAATGCCAAAATCAAGAAAAAAAACCTTTCATTTTTACGTTCCCCTGTATCCAACGCTGCATTTGCCACGCCACAATCTGAAATTCAGAAAGGATGTTTGTTCGCCGTTGAATATAATTAAAATGATAAAGAATTCTAGGATGAATAGGATGAACTTCGACAAAATGGAAGTTCCAAGCCTGCAAATGTTGAAATCCCAAACCTGTCGCGGAACTCCCAAGCCGCTAATTATTGAAAGAGTGTGCCGCACAAGATGCAATAACCAGAGCCACAGAACACGAACTGGAGCGCCATAAATACAGATGCTCCAGCAAGCTTGTGGAGTACAAAGACCCGTGGTGTAGTGGTCTAGCATGTCGTGTCCGCATGTGAAGATGAGTGGTTCGATTCCCTACCAGTTCACATACATTTTCAAAAATGAGTTTCCTCCGTGAGGATTTGTACTTTTTTCCGCATAACTCTTATTCCTCTTCTACCTGCTGATCCTTTTTTTCAGTGCTTCTTTCAATGCCTAACATCGCGTCAAACGTCTACGATGTCTTCACAGAAAGGTCTGAGGAAAAAAAACTTTAAAAAAAAGACAATTATGGGTTATGATGCCAATCGGCGCACAGTGCTCTTCATCAAAATCTTGAGCTACAGACCTCAAACCTTTTTCGCAAGAAATTTCGATAAAATCTCACTCGCATTTGTATTAAACAAAGAAAAAAATCACCCATATGGTCGATGGAGCTGGGATTTAGGGGCTCAAACTTTCAGATTCTTTACAGCTCATGCACATTTCCTACCTCTAGGATCAAACACTTCGTAATTCTGAAATTTTATAGATGCAAGTACTGCTCAAATGCAAGAACAACAAAAATAAACTGCATATATTAACACATAGAGGATTTCAGGCCCCCGTTCTCCTCCAGTCTCCTTGCAAAGGATATTCAGTGTTCGCATGTTTAAAATTTCTACAACACTTATTTTAGGTTTCAGGCTAATTTTATCTCTATCTATAAGTCTCAGGCACCTTTTTTCTCTAACTCAAAATTTTGGAAAACAAAAATTAGTGAGTTTTAGATGCTGGAAAGCATAAACACACCTGTGCCACTTGTAGCACGTGCTGGTGCAAATCGTCGTACAACCTTTCCCTGCGAGAATCTCCGTTTTTCACCACTATCACTGCTCGATGGAAGAAGCTCGGCTGTTGATGGTGGCGAGCTATCCGATGAACTTGTCATTAAATTTTCCATAGGCTGCGCTCTTGCTGAATTTGCCGGCTCATCTTAATAATACATAAGGATCTGTTTAATCATCGAAGAACATTTTCAAGGACGGGTTTGAAACAATGAGACAAAAAAATTTAAAACTATAGTTTCTCCCTTTGATAAGGAAAAAAATGCATGAATGAGAGAACCTTGAGTAACGGCGCCGGTATCAGCTTGACTGTCTTCTGTAGCGCATGAGGTGCCTTGATCCATGAAGCCGGTGCCAACTAATGTATATGCATAAATCAGTCCAGCTGCAGAGTATTCACATTGTTAATTCACAGTTATATTTGAAGAAAAAAAAAAAGATATGATACCCCAAACTGAAAAAAAATCCAAAAAAATTGGAGAAAAAAAGCTACGAAATGTAACTGATCAAAGTGTTAACGAATATTTAGGAGTCCTCTGAACGGGCTGCTCATAGTTTTTATTGATATGAACCTTACAGGGCCTCTACGGCTCGTACTTGCCCGTCGTATACTTGTTGTGTGCAAGAGCATCCTGAAACCCCCAGATCAATTGTCCGAATGCCTTGATCAACTTCAGCTATAATGCGAGAAATGCGACTTACACGAGTAAATGAGTGCGGGAAAAATAGGCTCATTGCGTTCTTGTGCTGTTTCCACCAATATTCGTAACGGTCCTTTCGGGCACAGCACGGCGATTAGGTCCCAAATTGAAATAACAGCAAGCACTGCCCAAACTGTCCATTCTGGCAAATATTTGATAAATATTAAAGCCATCAGTGCTGACATCATTATCAGATAGCCCTTCAATGCGGAAAATTATTTGCACTAAGTCAGTGTTTGTTTTTCCATTAAAACCCTACACTGGAGTGTATGGCATAATGGCAAGTGATAATTCTCTTTTGATTGCAAAAATTGAAAATTTGACTCCGTCAGTGGGGCACCAATCTTTCTATGTATCGCCCATTTTTTTCAATAGTAAATCGATAAAAGCAAAAAAAATGAAAAAATTAAATTAAAAAATTACTCAAACAGAACCAGTTTCTCCTATTCGCCCATTCCATTCAACAGTAGATCGATAAAAGCAGGAAAAAAAAATGGGAAAATTAAAGCAATAACTTATATAGTAACCACTAGATAAGAACTTTCTGGTCAATTATGCCTCATTTGTCTCGTGTAGGTAATAAAACAGGACTTCGTCAGTACAACGGTTGCGGCAAAAATTTAAATCTTTACGTAAAAAGCAAAGTTCTGCTAGAAACTTGAAATAATTACGTCACCATCAGTTTGCTTATACTAAGCAATCCATAAAAGGAAACCATCAACAATTTTACTAGCTGATGATTGCTGTTGTTGCAAGCTTTCTTTCGGCAAATTTCCATGTGTTTTCGCCATTTACAGACAACGAATAACGAAACAGTCTCATTTTTGTAACCTAACAAAATTATATAAAATTTTACTTGTTGCATTCGTAGCGGGCCTTTCCAGTGAATGCAAATCATTCCCATTACCCCGTAATTCCAAATAAATATGCAAACAAGTATGTAATCCACTGGTACATTGTAGCTTTTGAAAACTTCTCTGCAAATAAACCATATCTGAGAAAACATCCAAAAATACTTTTTTTAATGCCCCTACTCTTTATGGGTAGAAAGCAAAAATCATCAACTTCTCGTGCTAAATTTTATATCAAACCGCCGAAACAATTCTTACCAATTATAATAATTTTATCAAAATAATTCCATTACTTTTTTTCCGGCCATAGTCCGGTCTGTGTTTACAGCTAAGGGATAAAACACAGGCCGTATCGTAAAATGTCTTTTTGTACATAGCACCTAAGTTCAATCCTCCTACTCTACTATTTTTACTAATTCCTTAACTCCTATTTCCGAATTTTCTCTTCGATTTTCCTCCTATTTCAAAATACCTTTCTATTATATCATATCCCTTTTTCACCCCCGGAATTTCACGCAATTATTTAATTATTCAATCGAAACCGAACAACTCCTCGCGAGGCATTTAGCCCGGGAGCGAAGGACCTGACATAGCTGCGTTCGAAATGCAAAAACACCTCAGTAACATATCACTAACATGGGATACCCACACCGATTGTACCCACCATCAAGGAATCATTTTTTCCCGCAATTATAATCAACAACATCAGTTCAACTAATACTCGAAAGAGGACAAATCCCTATGCATTTTTAGTTCATTTTAATGTCTGTTTGAACAAAAATTAAAGTTAAATTCGCAAAAAAAGGAAAACTTACTGTAAATACATGAATGTGAAAAGTGATAATAACATCAAGCTACTCACAATCAACCATGCGCTTATTACCTGCAAATTTAACAAAATCCCAAGAGTTTCCGCGAATTTTAAACGATTTTCAAGAAAACCCACGAATTCCAGGAGTTCCAGGACAATGCTCTTTTCTTAACTTGGCCCTGGTCATTTTCAGCCGTACAAGACCGACTTGCCTGACCATCCAGCATCCTCCGAACAGACTTATTAAAAACGATTGTTGCTCAAAGTCAAAACTGTCCTCCAAATTTCACTCATTGTGAGAGAGGGAAATCACAATTAGAAGTATGTGTCAATCTTCTAGCGAGCCTGCGTTTGCCTTATTCTTCCCAGGACTGCGCATAAGTAAAGTGATGACAATTTTGTTTCCCTGGTATCAATTTATCATTGAAACTAATTAAAGGATAAAGAGAAACTGATGAAGTAGAAAAATGAAGAACGGAGGAAAAACGATGAAAAAGAGAGAAATGGAAAAAGGTTTTAGGAGTATAGAAATAATTGTAATGGGTAAGAAATGTTTTGGTCCATTAAATCGTAATGTCGAAACTGAACAAACGAAATGAATTTAAAACATAGGCG